AGCAGCTCAAATGGACTAAGACCTCTTGCTTACAACAATAATTAGTACATGGACCTTGTTAACATTTCTCTGGAACTTAAAAAAAAATGGCACCACATTTTGCAATACCTGGGTAAGCACCGCAGTGTGCTCAGAACCGCAGCTGATGTAGGTCACCCCGAGATTCCTCAGGGCACCAACTGACAGGGGCTTGTAGCTCTGTGCTGTTGGAAAAAAGCAGAATTTCTAGAGCATAACAAACTCAGACTCCATGTGTATCTTATATTTATATCTTTTATATTTTTAGTATTCTTATAATTCATTAACATAATTTTACAAAGTAAATAATAGGAGCAAAAAACAGAGAGGACACCCTGCTTTGGGGGGAAAACAAAGCAGCCCTTTCTCATTTATTTCTGGAAGCTATTTTAATTATCCAAAAGCTAAGCTTCAAGACCCTCATCCCCAATTATACCGCCGTCATGTTATGTTCATTTGTCTACCTAAGATAACAACAGACAGGCTCTCCAAAGGATAGAGTTGATTCATGGGGATTGTAATCCAAGATATGCGTGCCCCATGGTGGGCCATGGCCTATCCAGGGAGGGTGAAGCAGGGCAAAACTTTTAAAGGCAAAAACAAGTTCATGCAGGTTGTTTTGAAACAAAAGCCCACTGGGCACAGAGGCTTAGGGCAGGCAGTGATGCACATGCTGGCCCACTCTAGGAGAGGGGCTCACAGAGGCAACCCAGAGCGCAGATGTGCAGCCTAGGGAGGCTAATGACAGGGTTGTGGTTAGGAAAGGTTGTTACCAGAAAGATGTCCTCCCAGAAGTAGCTTTAACCACAACTTTGAGGTTACGGCAGAATATTTTTCAATAGCTCTTATTTTCATGTGTAAGGACCCTCCCTTCATAGCCTCCTGACTATTTTATTAGGGTTTGACATAAGTGACTCCATTTTGCTTTTGACAACTTTCACACTTTTTTTTTTTTTTTTTTGAGACAGAGTCCCACTTTGTTACCCTGGG